CTGGAGGCCCTGCGGCGGCGGCAGGGCCGCCGGCGCTGCGACTGTGAGCTCGACAGCGCCGTCCGGGTGCTGTTGCTCTGCGCGGCCGCAGGCGCAGCCGCTGGCGCTCCGCTGCAGACGGGCGGCCGCCCGCGCTGCTGGCCCCGCCGCGGTCCCGCAGCCGGCGTCCCCCCCGCAGCCGCCGCGGCCGAGGGCCCGCCGCTCTCCGCTCTCTTCCCGCCGCCTGCACAATCCGCGATGCCGCCCCGTCCAATCAGAGAGGCACGAGACGAAGCCCCCCAACCCAACAAAGCGGCCCCTGAACCAGCGCCTGCCTGCACACCTGGAACGCGCGGAACAGGTTTACCTCCACCACGCGCCCGAACCGCGAGAACAGCGCGCGCACGCTGTCCTCCGTCGCGCTGCGCAGCACGCGGGCGAAGAACACCTGCGGCGGCGGCGCCAGCAGCGGCGGGAGCGGCGGAAGTCGGCCTACGAAGCGGGCGCGGGCGGGCCGCCCTCGGCGCAACGTACAGTCACCCGGGCGTGGGCAGCGCTCGCGCAGCTGGAACCCCCGGCCTCATCCCTGCGCCAGCGCCTGCGCGCCCCCCCTCCGCGTGACGTCAGCATGACGTCAGCACAAGACCCACCGTCCTGTCGTCCACGTCATCCTCTGCGTCCTTGCGGGCGCGCGGGTCAGGGTCCGCCAGCCTGGCGGTCAGAGGGCCAGCAGCGCCCTCCTGCACAGACGCGTGTAGGGGCGAGCCGGCGTGAGGGCTGCCGCGGCCACGAGCGCCGGCGCCGCCAACGTCCCCGACGTGTGCGGGGCTTTGAGGGCCCTGGCCCGTACACAGGCTTCATGACGGCGGCACAACACACACGTGTGCACGCGCCGTCCCTGTTGCTCGGACAATGCGCGCGCGCACATACACACACGCACTCTCTCTGTCTCTCTGTCTCTCTCTGTCAACACAAACACATACACACGTGTACCGCACACGCATCCGCGTCCGCAGCCGCGCGCGCGCGCGCGGGCGCGCACCAGCGTGACCTTCCCACTGAGCGCCTCGACCGCCGCCAGCGCGTCCTGGTGCGACCCCATCGCCGCCACGCCGCAGCCCTGAGCCGCGGCCAGGGTGGTGGGGCGAGGCGGACAGTCGGTGGTCGGGTTTCGACCCGTGCGGCCGGCCCGCGCTCGCCGTCGCTCGCTCCCGCTTTGCTGCGCGCTGGCCAGGCCGGGCGAATCCCAAGCCGTAGCTCGCGCTCTCCCACCTTGCTCTCCCCAGTTTCTGGGTCGCGTGTAAGCGATAGCGACTCGACCACGCCGCTCCTGCAGGCGGCGTGCACAGGGGGCGGCGCGCCGGGCAGCGCAAGTGTCGGCCGCGCGCCCGGCTCGAGAGGCGTCGGGCCCCAATGGACGCGCACGGCCGCGCAGGCCCCGCCGCGGTCAACCGGCGGGCGCCGCGAAGCCGCCTCCGAGCTCTCGCCTGTGTGCGGAGCGCGGGCGTTCGCCTGCCCTCCGTGACCCGCCGGAGCGGCACCTGCCACCCAGCCCAAGTTCTCTGTCCCGCCCCCACCGGCCAGCTGACCGCCCCGCTGATTCCATCCCTGCTGTGCCACCCGCTGCGCCGACCCGCCGCGCCCCGCGCCCGTCCGGCCGCTCGCCTGGCGAACAGCAGCTGCAGCTCCGACTCGCTGGCGCCGGGCGACGCCCCCGAAAACACAACGTGGCGCACGTCATCCGCGGCCCCGGGCGACGGGTGGCGGCCGCGCGCGAAGCGAACCTGGGGGCCGCGTGCGTGCGCGGGATGTTATGAATGCAGGTGCGGCGGCAAGCGGGGCCCCGCGGCCCGGCCAGCGCGGCGCTGCGCACAAGGCCAGGGGACTGCCGCGCCCGCGCCCGCGCCCGCACCTCCAGCGGGCCGAGCGCGTTTGGCAGGTGGACGCGGTGGTCTAGGTGCTGTATGGCCGCCTGCGCCTCGTCGGTGGTCTCGTAGCCGACAAAGGCGCAGCCGCGCGAGAGGCCCGTGCTGCGCTCCCGCAGGATCATCACATCCCGGACCGCGCCCCACTGCGGGCGGGTATTGGGGGTGAGGCGGGGCGGCGAAGGCGGGAGGGGGAGGGGAGGTTGTAACTGGAGGGGAGCCACCCATTGCTCATCGGGGGGCTGCAGCGGGCCGGGCGAAGGGCGCGCCAGCGGCGTTGATACTGTGCGCCGCCCGCGCTACGCCCGTGCGGCATTCACCTGATCAAAAAGCGGTTTGATTTGGGCCTCGTTCATGCTTTTGGGGATGCCTGCCACATACAAGCGTGCCAGCTGATCGTAGGGGGCGTTTGCATGGTCATCCCCGGAACTAAGCTCCTCCACGGGCTGAGTCATACTGGCCAATGATAAGCCTACGACCGCACTGCCGATCGCCTCCAGTGGAGCCTCCAGAGGCGAGACGGTCGGCCCGCCCTGCGGCGAGCTGCCGCTGTGGGCCTCCAGGACCGCTGATTTAGAAACAATGCCTGATACAAATCCTTCGACTAAGCTGCGCCCCCGCTAGGAATGTGATCACTTACGCCCAACACTGGCATGCCGCCATTTTTGTTCCTATCAATGATATTGAGACCAACCAAGTGATTCAAGTGAATCAAGACATCGACGCCCGCGCCATAGCCCGCACCGCAACATGGGGGCGCACGCCTCGACTCATAGCCCCTAGCGCCATGCCGAGGCCCCCAGCTTGGGCAGGGTCGAATGGGGTCCGCTAACATGTGACATCATATACAGCTGGCAGTTTATCCAGTGAATCTTGCTCCACTACTGCACCAGGCAGGCCCTTGTGCAACTTAAGTCGGTTGCGTCGGCGGCCCCACCCTTGCTGTGCGATTACGTCCAGGAGCCAGCCCCAAAACTGCAAGGGAAGCAGCGGGTCCCTGCGGCAACCCGAAGCAGACCCTGATCACAGCGTCACCTCCCATTTGATAACGATCCAAAGGCCTACTCTGATGCAGGGATCCAGGCATGTCCCCGGCCCCCCCAATTACATGCGGCGGCTGGGTGCAAGTGCAAGACTAGAGAGAGATTTGCTTGGGCTTGGTTTGTTTATGCATGTCCCACGCGCGCCCAGAGCCCCTCCCGGTGTGAGACGCCCACCGAGTGGCTTGACTCAGCTTCTTTTTGGAATATCTGTGTGGCCACGCCAGGAGCGGGGCCAACAAGGGCGCGCCGCGTGCTGCTGGCCATGCGTACCCCCACGTATCAAATGTGTGATACGAGACAGCGCCCCGGCCTCTGTGCGCCCCGGCCTTGCGCTCCTGACACCTCCCTGCCATCACAGTGATTCCAAAAGCTCTGGTTGGATTGAACCTGTTACACATCCAGACGAGTGATGGCGCAGCGTGTGGCCTTGAAGCCTCGCTCTTCAGGCGCCAGGCGCAGTCCTGAGACAAATGGTTAGTAAGCCCACAGCCGTGGCGGTCCGCGAGGTGCCTCGCGAAACCGCGTGTTGGCTGGACGGGAAAACTTCAAGTGCTGTCGTGGTGCCATGCACAGAGGGGGGTCACATGCAAGCGAAGATGTCAAAAGGGGGGCCTCAGCCGGGCCCTCGATTTGGGCACAGTGCATCCTGTGCGCCCCATGGCATTTAGCGGTGCGGCAAAGGGCGCGATACAGCAGCGGTAACAATAGGGGCGGCGACCCGCCACAGCGAGCCGCAAGCGACCACGCGGCACCGGCAAATGCGTTCGTCGGCGCGGGGTGCGGAGCGCGGCAGGAGGGGGGCTCCTCGCCATCAGGCACGTCGCCGGGCCCGGGGGCCAGACACGCGCGTCAGACAAGCCAGGTGGCGGGACAAACCGCGGGTGCACTATAGACGGCGCGCGGCGCGCGCCGCTCGGCGGCGCGCGACGGCGGCAGAGAGCTGGGAAAGGGTGGTGGTGGTGGTGGTGCCGTGGCCTCCTGCCCCGCCGGCCCCACAGGGGGACAACGGATCAGGGCCTGAGACGGAGCGGCGCCACGCACGCCTTGGCAGGGTGCGTGTGCTATGTCGCGCCTGTGAGGGCGCGCAGCCGTTTGCGTACGCACACGGGGGCCAGCCAGCTGCCCGTCAAACTGCGGTTGGCTTGCCTCTCAAAACTGATGGCCGCCAAGGTGCGCGGCGGCGCTCAGAAGCCGCAGGGAAAAGAGCAGGCCCCGCCGCGCGCCCCACCAGGCGCAGGCGCCCCTCGAGCGCGTTGGCCGCGCCGCGGGGCGCGAGCTCTCATAGGGCCGGGGCACGCCCGCCAGCCCCAATATCGGGAAGCGGGCGCGCCCTCCGTTTAATAGCGGGTGTTTTTCAAAGATTCGGCACCCCCCCTCCCCCGCGCGGAAGGCCTCACGGAGGGGCCCACGCCGCCGCACGGGGTGAGGGGGCCCGCCGCGCGGCCGCCGCTGGCGCCAGCGGCCGCGCGGAGTTGGTCGCCACGGGGTCGGCGCTCGCATTGGCAAGAGCGCCCGGTGAAAAATGCCGGGGCGGGGCAGCCCCCTGTGCACGGGGCGCCCGGCCCCATGGGGAGTGGGTGGGTTCCGTTGGGGACGGGGGCAGCAACTTTGAGGCCTCTCGAGCTTCCCCCCGTAAAAACGGCCGCGTTGGGGGCGCGGCATGGCGCGGCCGCACGCCGCGCCCAGCGCGCCGGGGGGGTGGGGGGACATTGAGCGCGCAAGGGGCGGCCGCGGGGCCGCGGCGCCGGGACGGGAATCCCTAGAAATGCCAAAAATAGCACGGCAGTTTGCAAGGCACACCGTGCGGAACGCGCTCGCGCACGTCTCAGGGCGCAGACTTCATCGGCCAGCTGCAATGACAGTGCAGCATCCCCAGGTTCCCCATCATGGTCACAGGCGCCCGAGGCAGAGGGCGGACCCGGCCAGCAGCTGCCGCTGCAGCTGCTCCTGCTGCAGCGCCGCCAGCGCCGCGGGGCTGCCCGCCGCGAGCTCGAGCTCAAACAGCTGCTGCGCCCGCTGCCGGGCTTGCGCCTGCGCCTGCTCATGCTGCCACAGCGCCACCGCCGCGGCCTCCGCCTGGAGTGTGAGCAAGTGCTGGTGGTGGCGCGCCGCGAGCCACGCCGCGCCGTCAGCGCCGAGGTCTGCCCCCGGCCCAGGGGGCAGCTGCGGCTGCGCCGCCGCCGCCGCCGCTGCGCCGAACAGCGCCGCGGCGGCCGCGTCGCGCGCGGCGGCGAAGGCCGCGGCGTACGGGGCTGAGGGGTCGGCCGGCGGCGGCAGGGACATGGGCAGCGCGCTGCTGAAGGGCGCGGCGGCGGCCCATGGCGCCAGCCCCAGGTCTGAATGGATGCCAAACGCGCCGCAATCGCTAAAGCTTCCCAAGTGCGATGACGCAGAGAAAAGCCCCAGGTCCTCTGCAGAGCCTGGCAGCAGCGGGGATGCGGCGGCCACGCAGGCCACGGGCGCCGCGGCGGCGCCCTTGGCAGGCCCAGCGGCGGCCGCGTAGGCCGCGAGCAGCGCGGACGACGGGCTGTGCTCTAGCCCGCGCTTGTCCCGCGGCATCGACGTAGCCATGGGCGCCGAGGCTGGCGCGACGGGAGACGGCCCCTTGGCCGGCCCTGGGGACGCTGCCCGCGGCGCGGCCCCAACGGCCGGCGAACCGCACCGGCTGCCGCCCCGGCCGCTGGCGCCGCCACCGCCGCCGCCACCCTTGCCCGCATTGGCTGCTGCGCCCTTGACGGGCGGCGAGGGCGCGCGTCCGCTGGCGCCGGCGCGGGCCGGCGCCGCAGCGGGGGAGGGCGCCGCAGGCTTAGGGTCCGCGCTTGCGTCAGTGCACGAAGACGTGCGAGACATGGTGCCCTCCTCACCGACCATGCTGGCAGCTGCGTGGGCGCGCGAGATGGGGGAAGGAGGGGGGAGGGAGGGGTGTTCATGTTGAGGGCCGAGGCCGCTGAGCGACGGGCGCACGACAGTCATCCCGGTTGGCACGCGGCCAGCGAGCTGGCAAATTCGGCAGCCACGGGGTCGCGTGTGAGCGCCAGTGGCAAGCAGGGCCAGCAGGGCCAGCGGCGCACCTGACGCATCTGAAGGGTCGCCATCCTCCGCCTGCACCTCGGGGCCGTCGGAGGCGCGCAGCTGCGCGTCGCCGTGCGCGAAGAAACACACCCGGCGCGCGCAGCCGGGGCCGTCCTTGCAGAGCTGCGTCCTGTAGCGGCTGGGGTGCAGCCAGCACTCGAACACGCCGTGGCCGTACGTGCACTCGTCGCCGCGCTTGCAGACGCCCTTTGGGGGGGGCACGCACATGCCATGTGTGAGTGTGTCAGAGGCGGCTGGGCGGCGGTTGCAACCAGCGCACGCCAAATGCATCGTTGCCGCCAAGCCCCGCCCTGCCCCGTACAACAGCACACCTTGCGGAAGTCTGGGCAGGCGACCCCGGTGTATGTGAACACTCGAGGGTCGCGGCGGCGTGCCTTTTCTCCTGCAGAGACGCGTGCGCAGGCGCAGGGGCACACACGTGAAGGCCAGGCCAGGGGCAATGCAGCAAGGGCACAACGGCGGCGGCAGGCTGGGCAGCGCCAGGCCGCGGTGATCCTGAAGCAGCAGATCCACAGCGTGATAGCGGCAAGCGGGCGGGCAGAGGCTTTTGCGCACCTGGGTGCGCAAAGGGGCACTCGGTCCAGTCGTGCGCCTCCTCGTTGGGGCAGTCTGCCACCTGCGCAAGGGCCACAGTTCCATGGTGCCGCCGTGGGAACAGGACAAGCGAGATGCTGACGTTGTCACAGATGCGAGCCTTTTGCGCCCCACATGCAGAAAGTGGTTCTACCCGGGCCCGACGCAAGGACGACAGTGACCCACGGCATGGTACGATGCACGCGCCATGCATTTCACTTGCTGACATGAGTGAGCGCTCGGGGCCTTACCTTGAAGGCATACATTCTGAATTCGTCAGACGAGTACTCAGGCAGGTTCAACTGGCTGTCACGCGCCTGGGGTGGCGGCGGCCGACGGCAGGGGGAAACGGGGGAGCACTGGGGCGCTGAGGCCAGGGCTTTGAGGCGAGCGTGGGCAATGCCATGGCATGGCGGCCGGTGCAGGGCTGCAGCACAAGCGCTGGTGCGATAGCCAACTCCGCCGTGCATGGCCGACAGCCCCAGGGAGGGCGAGACTGGCGAGCGCACTGCTGTCGAGCAACGCGCTCGGCCAGCTCGGCAGCGGATTTAGCAAGGTACAAACGGAATGGACCATGCGGGTTCCGAGTAAGGCAGGCGAGGGCACGCACACCAAGCGCAAAAGATCAGTGGGATCGTGCCCCGCGCCAACTTGCCCCCTCACGTGGGACAGCAGGAGGTCTACGGGCTTCCTGCCAAGCGAGTCCCTGAGCTCTCTGTCGGCACCTGCCTCGAGCAGAACGGCGAGCACCTCGGAGAGGCTCTCCGGCCTGCCCCCGCACACGCTGTGCAGGGGCGTGGCCTTGTCGTCCGGCGAGACGGCATTTGGATCAGCTCCTGCTCGAATCAAAAAGCGGGCTGCCTCCACCGCGCCGTGGAATGCTGCTACATGGAGGAGGGACCGCCGTGCCGCTGCGCTCGACGACCCCGGAGCCCTCCAGTGCACCCAGGCCGATACGTTGGCCCTAAGGACAGCACTGAGCTGGGCAGACCCGGCGGAGAAGGCCTGGACGACGGCGGAGGCGTCCAGCGAGCTCATGTGCTCGTGTGTGGGCCCTCTCGGGTACAAAAGGCCTCCTCGGCTGCGAAAAAAATAGAGCGAAAACTGAATGGGTATGGGGATGGGGGCACGGAGCCACCTGGCCAAAGGGGGGACGCCCGAGATTTCGACCTGCAAAATATCACTGGGTGGCACGCCCGGCCACAGCCAAATGAAAGGAGACTCGAGTAGCCCACAAAAGGGGTCCCCAAGCATGCAACCGTTCTTCAGCATGCTTCGCCTGCGCCGGCATGGCCGCCGGCGCCCTTTGGCTCAGCTGCGGGGCCACCATGTGCGGTGCCTGGATGCGGATGGCGGCAAACCACCATTTCTAGTCGCCTGTCCGTGCGCAACCGCTCTGTTTGTGATTAAAATTACTGGTGAGACAACGCAACACTGGCAAAGCAGGGCTGTGCTGGCCAGCTGCGTGGCAGTTTTTGGCTGCACAGGGGCTGGATTGCTTGCTGCTGCAGCCACAGCTGTGCGCAGAGATATCCCAATCGGGACATGTCATGCATGGCATATCGCCATAACAGAAACTTCGCTCACAGCACCAATACGACATCACCATGCCAAATGCCGTCACAAACGGACAGTGCGCACAGGTACAGTAGCACACACAGCGGGCTCAGCGACACGTGTGAACGTGTGTTTGGGTCAGCGACACGGGTGTTTTTTGTAACGTTAGTTGCGAAATACGAACATGTGCTCGCGCATTCATCAATATCCGCCAGCATCTTCGCAAGGGCTTGTGCGGGTTTGAACCAGCATCCACCAAGCAAGCAGGCCGGCCGCCTGCTCTCCAGCCGGCCCCGCCTATCATCGCATCATGGGATGCCCATGCGCAGACGAGCGACATGGCGCCCCTGCAGCCGAGGCAAGGGCCACCAGGGTCGATGTGAGCTGCTATTGGCTGGGCGCGCATCGACGCGCCACTTGAGGCTGCCATAGGCTCCGGCTTGTCCAGTTCGTGCTGCTGGAGGGATGCGCAGCCCGTTGGGAGCGGTGATAGGGGTAAGCGTGGTGCATGCGCGGGGCCGGGCGATTGACCTCAGGATGGGGGCCTGCGAGGTGCGCACACAGCTTCATTGGTCTGGCTCAACACACAATATTCCAGCAGCCCCGGTGCCCACCAAGCACACTGCGGTAGCAAACTCAAGTCTCAAGCCCACATTGTGCCCTGCCCACCTTTTACATCACACTTCTCAACCCGCAACCGCAGACCAAAACTTGGTAGAAACATTCTCGACCAAGCTGGTGTGCTTTGCCTCATTGCATGTTTCACTGACCACCTACCTGACCGAGCAGGGTCCAGCTGTTTTACTTGCTACGCATCCATCCTGATCACGGGCTGCACGTGTGCTGAATCCTGCTTTTCGGTCTGCTCGACAGCGATTGCCAAATTCAGAGGGGCAAGTTGAGATGCGTGATGGCGCCAATGCGAACCACCCGCTCCCCCCTTTGACACCCAGGCATGGACCCCTGCAAGGCCGTCCCTGTCGTGCCCTCTTGCCCTCGCCACACGGCCTCCGTGTACCACACAAATCGCGCTGCAGAACCCATTTCTGCGCACCGCGCAGCAACAGTTTCACGGCACCTGGTGCGAGCTTGGCGACTCAACTTGTGCAACAAGCTCTCGAGCAGGCCGCCGTCCCTCGCAATCTTGCAGTGGTTGCGCAGAGGCGGCCGCCACCGCTTACGACAAGTATTAAATCTCATTGATCAGTCGATCAATCACCCGCCACAGGAAATCGTGGAACAGTGAGCTCAGAACGCGCCGTTCGGGGCCCCAGGCACGAGCAGCCCGTTGGGGGCGTGATCTCGAATATCAGTACGATTTATGCTGCTTCCTTGAGTTGCAGGTGGGCTGGGTGACGAATGTTGTCCCGCTGTCCGTCCCCGGGGCTGACCCGCCGGGCAATGCCTCCTCGGCCCATTCACTGACGCTCAACGTTGTGTAGGTGCTTTGATGCGCTGTCAATCAGGCGCTGTGCGCGTCTTGGGCCGTTTACGCGGTGTTCCCACTGTGCTGCTGACACCGTCGAGAGCGTGATACTGGCGGTGCACGCCAGGGGGGCTGACATGCAGACTGCCCGCGCGCCCACCCCCGCCTGGGACATGCGGCTAATCCATTGCAGGTTATCGTAGCAACAGTCCAGGCCCATAGGATCCCTAGTTGGCGCTGCATGGAGGCGCCCGGGGAAACCGCGCAGGTGGCCCCAACGCAGCAGCAGCCGCACGCGGCAGCCGAGCGGCCGCCGCCGGGGCCGGCCCGGCAGCCGTCGCCCCCAGCCGACGGCGGCGTGGGCGGGCGGCACGGCGTCGGCGGCGACGCCGGCGGCGCAGGGGACCTGGGTCGGTCTGGCAGCGCTGGCAGTGGCGCCGGCCATCGGCAAATTTTCCCAGACGACGAGCAGGACGCCGCCGCCTATGACGACCCGCTGTATGCCACCGACAGCTTTCGCCTCAACTGCTTCAAGTGAGAGACAGCGCGGAGGCCTCTTTTCTGTCGAGGCGGCCTGGCAAACGGGTCGAGCGGCCCCACGCATGGGGCTGCGCGGGTTGGGCAATGAGCACGCCGGTGCCTCCTCCATTCACAGCTCAGTCGCCGGATGTGCCTCGCTGCCCCACTGCTACGCCCCGCGCAGGATCCTGCCATGCAGCAAGCGGTACACTCATGATTGGGTGAGCCGCCAGCCGCGCCTGCGCCTCCAAGCTTGGGCCCAGTGACAGCGACAGGGACCGGCGGCACGTGCGCCGCCTGGCCGCCCGTTACACATTGCAGCAGCTGCCCCCTTGCCTGGCGTGAGCGCAGCCGCAGCCACCCCGGCAGCCTCCAAGCTGCGCTCCTTGCACGACTTCGGCTCAGACCGGGCCCTGCCCACCCATCCTCGCCCGCGCAGGTCCGCTGCCCGTTTGCCCACCCCGGGGAGAAGGCGCGGCGGCGTCCTCTGTCCTCCAAGTCCTACTCAGCCACCATGTGTCCGGAGATCCAGCGGTCGGGCGCCTGCCCGCGCGGCGATGCCTGCGGATACGTGAGCGCCCGCGCCACGACCACGCGCGTGCATGCGCCTCGATCGTCCGTCCGGCGCCTGCATGCGCGTAATGCCGCAACCGACGGCAATTGCTTGGGTCGGCTGCACCTCCCCACCCGCGCCGACGTGTCGTCCATCCGCTCGCGCAGGCCCACAACGTGTTTGAGCACTGGCTGCATCATGATCGCTACAGGACGCAGGTCCGGGGCTGGCAGGCTGGGCGTTTGCGCCCTGGGCATGGGAGCGCGTATTGGCCCAAGCGCCCGCACGTCCATGCATGTCTGCATGCGCATGCATACACACACGCCATAGCATGCGCGTTCCCATGCAAGCATCCATGCATGCAGCATGCATATGCATCGCATGCATGGATGCAAGCACGCATCCATGCATGCAATGCATGCTTGCTGCATTCTTGGATGCTTGCATGCGTGCGTGAGCCGCGCGCCCACACGCAATGAAACTCGCACGCACTGTTCTCGCCTTTGGCCCATGCGGGCCAGGGCAGGAGCCCTGCATTCCGCACAGCCGCGCCGCACGCCACCCCGTGAGCCAGCATGCGCTCTTGCCGGGGCCGACACGCGCGCATGCTCGCGCCGCCCCCCTCGCCCGCCTGAAATCCATCCTCGCGCCTCCCCACCGCCTATCAGATGTGCCGAGACGGCCCGGGCTGCTCCCGCAAAGTCTGCTTCTTCGCACACACGATAGAGGAGCTCCGCACCCCCAGCGGCACGCCGCCGCCGACGCAGCCGGCGCCCGCGATGCACCCCGGCCTGCAGGCGCACCTCTCTCAGACAGGCCAGTACGCCAGCGGCGGCCTGCCGTACGCGTGCGCGCCGCTGTCCCAGGGCGGCAGCAGCAGCTGCTTCCCGCCGACCCCTCTCGACGGCGGCGCGCCGGGCGGGCTCGTGTTTGCGGCCGCCGAGGACTACCCTGAAGGCGGGCCGGTCGCGTACATGCACGGCGGCGGCCTCGATTTCCCAAACAGCGCCCTCCCACGGGGCTCCCCGCTCGAGGCCGCCGCGGCGGCCGGCTACCAGTACATCCCAGCCGGCGGGGGCGGCGGCGGGGGCGGGTACATCGCAGTGCCGGCGCTGGGCGGGGCCATGGGGGTGGCCGGGTACCTCCATGCGCCCGCCGCCGCCGTCTTGGCGGCCGGGGGGCAGGCGCAGTACCGGCAGCAGCAGCAGCAGGGCGGCATCATGCTAATGGGCGGGCCGCGCGGCCACCCCTCGGTCATGATGGTTGCAGCACACCCGGACGCTCACCACCACCACCACCACCACCAAGCGGACGCTCCGGCGGGCGCCGGCCAGGCGCACGCGCACGCGCAGGCCCAGGCGGCGGCCGCCGCGCTCGCCGCGCAGCTTTCGCTGTCTGGCGGCGGGGGCGGGCCGGGGCAGCAGTCTGGGGCGCCGATGATGCGGCTGGTGCCGCTTGGCGCGGACGGCGCTCAGCAGGGCGGGGTCCCCGCGCACGGCGGCTGGGTGCTCGCGCCGCAGCATGGCGCCCGAGGCGGGGGCCACTACGGCGTGGGCGGCGGCGGCCAGTTCTAGCCACGGGCGCGCGCGCGGCGCCCTGCCCACAACCGCCCAGCCGCGGCGTGTCTTGGACTGCCCAGACGGGGAAGTGGCGGTGGGGCAGCGGTTGAGGCGCTCGGAGCCGCTGCCCCTTGCACTTTCGGGGAATCGGTTGGATTTGGGGGGAATCGGTCGCACTTTGAGGGATTTGGTCGCTGCCCCCAAAGGCCTCGCTGCGGCCGGTGCGGCGCGGCCCGCGGTGGCCCGCGGCTGGGGGTCGGCCGCCCCGGCCCCCTTCCCGGCGGTCCGCCCCCTCTTTCGCGCAAACGCGCTTGCTCAGCCGCTCCTTCTACACCAAGGGTGCCCGGCGCCCGGCCCAGCTGCACGCCGCGGATCCGGGGCCTGTGCAGGGGCCCCGCCTCCGGCCGCGCAGGCTGCGCCGCACCCAACACTCCCTCTTACCCCCGCCGCGCCGCGCCGCGCCATGCGGCGCCCCATTGCTGCGCCCAGGCCTCAATCGGGTCTTCAAAGCCGCACTGCCAGCACGCGTGTTTCCGTGATTCGTATTATGTAAGGGGGGCAGGAGCCACGCGCGTCACACTGAAACCGCCGCCGCGCCACCGACCGTGCCGGCCGCCCAGCCACCTTGGCAGCAGCTGCTGCCACACAAAATGACACACCCGCGGGCGCGCGCGCGCGCGCGGCTGCGGCGGCAGGCGCACCCCGGGCCCCCGCCCGCTCGGCTCCCAGGAGCCTTTTTGATCCGCTCTCCTTTATTGCCAACACCCCTCTCCCGGGCCGCCGCGCAGCGCGCTCCGCCCCGCTCGCGGCATGCGGCGCGTGGCTGCGCCAGGACCCACCCCATGGTCAGATTGCCGGCCCTGGGGAGTTGCCCCGAGCACCCACGCACCCCAGCACAAAGCCGGGGCCGCCCTCTCGCTGAGTTTCCTGCGGCCGCACGGGCCCCCTCTTCCCTCTCCACACCTCACTCCACCACTCCCGCCCCACCTTCAAACCTCGCCCCTGCGCCGGCCGTGCACCCTCCCCCTCTGGACCAGAACTGCCGCCCCCGCCCACCCGCCTGCCCCGGGCGCAAATTGCACCCCTGCGCCGCGCGCCTTGAGCCCCCCCTCCGGCGCGCGGCTGACACAACCCCACCCCAGCGCCCTCCCCGGCCGCGGCCGTCGCCGCCGCTGCAGCCTTCATTGAAACGCGCCGCCGCGGCCCGCGCCCTGCCTCCTGGCTTTTTTCCCCGGGGGTTGCGGGCGCCCTGTCTCACGCCACTTTGGCCCTGCCGCCCCTTTGCTTCGGGCGCCGCGCGCGCCGCTTGCATACCTAGGCTCGCCCATTAACTCCCTCATGCGATCCGTTGATATTGCCCGCCGTCCCCCGCGGCGCAACCCAGCTGGTCGCGGCCGGCCCGCAGGCCGTTGGACGCGTGTCGGGGGGCCGCTGCTCGCAGCGCTGCCGGCGCGCACCTGTTCTCACACCCCTCCCCACACTCCCCGCTTTACCAGCGCCCAAGAGCAGGCGGCCGCGCCCCGCCGGGCGCCCTCGGCCCGGCGGTTGCGGCCGTCGAGCCGGGCCCCAGGGCTGCATTGATGAGGTCTGCGAAGGGTGTGCCAGCGTTGGACTGAAATATATTGTTGAAAGCCCCGTATTGCGGGCCGGCCGCCGCCTGCGGCCGTCGCTTTCGCTTTTGCCGCCAACCCCTGCGCGAGCCGGCGCGCGTGCGAAGGCGGCCGCGCAGCCGAGCCCTAACAGGCGACGCGCGAGCCTGGCCGGCCGCCGCGCGAGCCGCGCGGGCGCGGTGCAGTGCAGTGCGGCCAGGCGGCCCTCGGGCCGCAGCAGGCCACCGCCCGGGCTCCCTCCCAGGCGGCGGCGGCGCCGCCGCGGCCTCGGCGCGCTGCCCGTACGCCCGCTCACTCGCCAGCCCGCCTGCCGCGGCCCCATTGGGATCGCCCGTGCGATCGTTGTTTCGGCGGGGTTGCACCCCCGCCCGCACCATTCCCCCGCCCCCGCGGCTCGTGGCTGCGGCCGTGCGCGCGGCCGTGCGCGGCGGCGGCGCGCAAGCGGCAGCGGCGGGCCGGCCAGGTCGGTTGGGGCGCGGC